AAATTTTATCTAATTTTTCAATTGGTCAAACTTCAATTTTAACCACAAATTTTATGGGCTTACAACTTTTATCAAAATTGGCTAGACTTGTATCAAAAGATTTGTCACACAACCACTTGATATGTAGATAATGGAAATCCCTTTTTGTGATATTTTTGCCAAGTAGTTGCAATAGTAAAAAATGATCTTTCTGACCAGGGTGATTTTTTTTTTTCCCTCCTTGCAGGGATCCATATTCAATGGGTGTCAACTCTGACGAATTGAAAACATCTCTTGCCTCACGAGGTAATTCGTTTTATGAGGTTTAAGAATTTGAATTTACTATTGCATATAATACAATACTTTACATTTGACATTTTGAATTTTCTTAGTATCTGATGGTAATGGTTTCATGATCTGCGTAGCATCATGTTTCAAACGAGGTGAAAGTATCGTATTCTAGTAAATAATTTTATGTTGTGCAGTTGCAGTTACACCCCCAAAAAACACAGTACCACCGATGGAACAACCTGTAACTGTAACGGATCCACCAGTCGCATCTATGACTGCAGCATCTTCATCAGCAGAGACCACTGGAGCTGGACAGCAGACGAACAAAGAGAAGACGTTAAAAGATGCTGTGAAACCGAAGCACAAAAGGAAAAAGAAGACATCAGCAAGTTAGAAAATTCTGCATCAGTGATCTCTTTTGACGCATGTAAGTAGTCATCCTCTCTTATGCGAAATGTTTCAAATTAATATTCATATTGGCGAAACATTTAGTGCATGTTTGTTATTATTACTAAATACGACCGCACAACACAATGAACAAAAATTTCATTTCTTCTTTTACACTGTTTAGTACCCTCTAGTATCTATGGATTGCATTCTTTTAAGATTTTTGTATGGCAAAGGTTATGTTGCTGATGATATTGTTCGACTGTATTGTAGTCTTGAAAGACGAGGTTATATCTTGTGCGTGTCTTGGCATGAACAGTGAAGAGAAAGGTCGCAACGTCGACATCATCCATAGTGTACTGAAGTTTGCTTTTCTTGGAATTCTTTCTGAGAGATTAACGACTCTGCTGTAAGTAGTGCTTTACAAGGTTTTTCCGATGCCAATGGTGCAGTAGCTGCTGCGTCTTCAGAAATTAGGAACCTGGAAATATTAGGCAAGATTGTATTTGGAATGTACATTTGATGTAGCGTCTGCTTATGGTTTTATAATATTCCATGTGAAATTAGTTGAATAGCATGTCTACTGGCTTCTTTAATTAGTTGAACAGCTCTACTTATAAACGTAAGCAAACCCACTCGATCATTCGTACCTATTTGTAGTTGAAGTTGAGCTACATTCTTCATTATATTTTCTAAATGAATGTCCACTCGAAGCCAAATACTTGTAACCTGACAAATTTTCTAAGTGAACGAACCATATCGACCATCAATACCTCTAACTTGACTAGATTACATTGCTCTATTACATCATATTTTCCACTAGATCCTATTACAACTATTCAACGAGGTCAGTTTTCTTGTTCGACATATGACAAGCGCACTGACCTCATTACCTCAATTGGACTACGCTCAAGCCACTCAAACACTGTTTGATATGCACTATTTTCCAAGTTTCAACTTTTTGCTGGTTTGATAGACAAAATTTTCTCGGCAAATGGTTTCACCCCAACCCCCCCTCCCCCCGATGACCCCCTTTTTCTTGGTTTTCATTGAATTGCTTTTCCCACCACTTTGGTGGGAAAATTGTTTTCCACTTTTTTTAAAATTATTTTATTATTTTTTATTAGCAATGGAAACAAATTCTATTTTCAATTGTAACAAATTCTATCCCTTTAATAGAGATCCAAAATTTCAATATTTTCCACGTGAAAAATTATACTAATTAAACACAATTAATTGACAATTCCCAAAAAAATAATTTTAGACAATTCAATTCCCTAAAATTCATTTTCTTTCCACTCAAATTCCACTTTTGCAATCAAATAGACCCTAAT